ACTGACTGACTGACTCACTGATTGACTGACTGACATGGTATGTATACATGATAATAGGGAGAACTGATATCCTAAATCGTTCTTTCCTACTCTGATTCAGTTACCCAGCATTGTTGACAGTATGAATACATCCTACTGCCTGTTGCAATACTCGGTTGAAACGTTTCCTAATTTCGTGTGGAAACTGCTTATTTTACCGGAATTATCTGTCATTATATATTTAGTCCCTCATATAATTTATTACTTCCAGGAACAAGAAATTAAAATTATTTTCTCTGTGCATCGCCTATCGATTTTCCCATTTGTGAATATTTATTTCAGCAACGAAGGTCTCAAATTGGTGACTTAGAAATTATTTTTTCCAAAGAGCCGTACAATACACCGCCGGATTTAAAAGATTACGCGATTGTAAGAAGCTCTACCGAGACTGTGCTAAATATTGCATATGGATATCAAATCTAAGACTCCTGTCTTCAGCGTTTATTAAAGAATTTTTATTGTATTGGTAGAACGTTCAGTGCAAGTAACAGAAAATATGTTCTAGCAGCATTAAACTTAAGGTACTCCAGATAATGGCCCGAATGTGACAATTACAGAAACTAATGTAATGAAGTCATTTGTTCCTATTTGCTGCAATACCGAGCTGTGCTACTATATACATTACTCGTTTAGGTATTGATGTTACTACTAGTTTGCTATTATATATGATAGTATAAGTAGTAATATTACTACTAACATTCTAACTTGCTACCAGTAATATTAGTACCTGTACGATTAGGAAAATTTACCATTAGGAAAATAAATTTATATGAAGGGAATCAATATCAAATACTGATTTGCATTCATTGCGGCTTTCTGTGCAGCGAAATCTGTTGGCATGTTTACTATCTATTGTATTTGGTGTCCTGAACCAAGAGTCATTCGAACAATGGTGCATATGATTATGGACCGAGAATCAGAAACCTAAAGAATTATTTATATATTGAAAGTTGAATTCATTCTACCTTTTACAGTTAGATGCAAAGACACTAAGGTTTTGGAAATCTGATATTTTACGATTGTTGTTATAATTTGCCTAACATTTTTCATGTATTTCTCTAGCTTGTGATCAAGCGACGAGGGAACATAATTATTTTGGTAGGTATCGTTGAAAGACGAATCAGCAGCGCGAAGATGCTGTGGTTGATCGGCTTTACCGAAGAGCTGTTCAGCCTCATATTCAAACAGCCCGTGAAGATGGAGCTGCAGACGATTGAAAATAAAGAGGAAATCGTCTACAAATACATTTAGAAATGTACTGTATATTGGTTTTGTTCTATGCTGCTTGTTTATTTGTAAATTTTGAATGGCCTGAAATGGATGGATGAACATCGCGAATGCTAAAATCGCCTGTAATTTTACCACAACGAGTATGAACAGTAATTCTGCCGAATTATGAAAAAATAATTCTGCGCATATGACCAGTTGCAGCAGTTGCCAATGTAACCACTCTGAGGTGACGGGTGAGTCGCTCTATTTCACCATCGACCTCGCACGCTTGTGCCTTTTTGACTTCATTGCATTGATCTAATGCTGCTGAAAGTGAGCAAACTAACGGTTACGTTAACGGATAAGAAAATTCTGAATATTAGAAGCGCTTTTGGCCTATCGAAGAGTGAACTGATCATTTACGCGGCGTGGGGGATCAAAAATAAAGATATATTTTAAATAAAAGTTCTTGACTAAGCAAAAGATTCAAGATGGCTTTTCAATAAATTTTCACAAAGGATAAGGAAAATGCACAAAAGGTTAAGACGGTTGCACCATGAACACTGATGCAAATGGGAATTTGTTGATTGCAGGTTTGAGTGTAATAGAAATTTGCAAAAAT